CTTATTAAACTTTTTTTGCATATGAAATTTTTTACCGGATATTCGGGTTGTAAGATGCTTTCGCCCTACTTTACATGTTTATCTATTATTTACGTGTATATCGATCAAAAATTTAGGCAAAATTGCTCGAATTTTTACTAAGTGAAATTATGCTTCTGGGCTGATTTTACCATTGCACAGGATAAAACCTTGAAAATTTCCATTTTTGTAATTAAAAAATATTAAAAAATTAAATTCCGGCCAAAATTATTTATAATTAGGGCCAGAATTTTGTTGGCCAATCAAAATCGAGTATCAACCCGCGCGGGATTTTTGTAGAAACTGCGATTTGCCCATCACTAGTCGAAGGGGCTTGTCCTAGCATTTCTCATATAGCTCTTATAAAAGTGTACAGTGAAACGGGTATCCGGATATTTAAGTCCAATATCTAATACTATAAACTACATACTTACTCTAACCCAGTTTACATAAATAATAAGATAGCTGCGCAGCATTGATGTTGCGCAGGACCAGTACGATCACACGTGCAAGTAAAATTCAAAATATATAAGATAGTTGTACAACGTTGTTGCACTAATGATATATGCAATTGAGTTGGTTGCATTCAAATTATCGCAAAAATTTTCATCTAAAACTTATTCGACATCTCACTAGCACATGGAATATGTTAAGATCTAGTTGGTTTATGTCGGAATTATCGCAATCCTTTCATGAGTTACTGTAAGTATTCTTGTAAAACTTACTCGCTATTCCAGTCGTATATAATAGAATTATCGTAATAATTATTCAACCACCGTTTTTTAGCAGTTCGAATAACGTACATAATATATGACTCTTAATCAGGATATTTTTCTCATTTTCTCATGGGTATTATTTTCACACAGTCATATGAATGCATGTATGTAATGGAATAGTTATGAATATTAACACTTTCTAAAAATGAATAAATGAAAATCATTATTCCTACCAAAAAAGGATTTTTCAAAAATCAGCATAGTGAACATCAACGGGTACACATAATAGGGTATTATATAATATAGATGCTATGAATATAATATCTATTAATTAAACAAATCAAATTTTTGTTACTATTATAAATACAGTTAGACTTCTCTAAGTGTACACCATTGGGACACAATTTAAAAACGTGCACTTAGAGAATAATAAGAAAAAGAGCATTTATAGAGGTCAAGTATATATTTGAGCAAGAAACTGAGCGTGCATTTAGAGAGGTGTGGACTTATAGAGGGTATACTTAAATTAAAATTGTATTATAAACCTTAAAAATTTAAAAATAAATAGCAGACTACAAAGGGGTAAGGTGCTTTTGATGGGCACCGTAAAAGCTCACCAAAGTAACTGTCTAATAAAGGGTTGATATCAATAAATTTAGATATATAATCAATTTTGTGATTAAAAAGTTTAATTTTGTAATTAAATGCTTAGATTTTGTGAAGTAATTTTAAAAATCGATTCTGATCTTATCGCACTTTAAAAAGTGGCCTCTGTAGATCACAGCGTCATGTAAGAATCAAAGATTCTTCCATTTTAAAATTGGAAATCAATTCCAGGTTCAATTATAGCGGCCTATAAAAAGTGTGCTCACAATTTTAGATAACAATAATGAAAATATCAAATACTAAATAGAGATTGGACTAGAAAAACTACCTTCAACATATAGTTTGAGTTTTTAAAAAAACGTAACTAAAATTTAGCCACTCAAAATTTCAATCCCAGGTTTTGATTATTTATAGACATTGCTATAAGTCTTTTATGTGAACAAGGTCATGCATGAATTCAATTCTCCAAGTTAAATTGACAATCTATATCTTCGAAGGATTGATTTTTCAAATTTAAAAATCTCAATATTCTGTTAAGCTAATGTAAAATAAAAAGTGTAATTAAGAACCAATAACCAAAACGTGCATTCCAAAATCTCCTTATTTGCCGTGATTTTACATGACATCATTATCTGCAGATATCACCCTTTGTAAGCCGCGATTGACCAACACATAATCGATTCCCCCTAAAATATTGAGAAGTTTGCTAATTCCTTAATAGTGAAAGAAAAAATATAAATTTGAAGAATCAAAATTACAATAGCCTCACTTTAATCTTGAAACTCAGGTGTGATGGATTATTATCAATGGAAACAATTCCAAAAACTAAATTTGTCATGAAACAGGTATCATTATAAATTTTCTTTCCTATAAATTTGTTAAGTTTTTGTGCAGATTACCACAATAAATGCTAAAAAATAAAAAAGTATGGTAATATATATATATTTAGTGGGTAGATTGTTTGTTTTTAAAATAAATTTAATGTACTATATGGGTCAGTCCGTACCGTTATGAGGCTTCGGGACTTTTTAATCAAATATTGATAAATTATCAGATTATATTCTTGAGTAGACGCTCTATCTGTAGCAGTAATTTTTGTTGAGATTATTATATTATGATTCGGTATAATTCTAATTCAAAGATTTTTACTTATATCCGTTTTTTGATTCTAAATATAAATTATTTCATATTTTTGCAGGGGTAATCTATATTAATTGCCAATTAAATTAACCATTCTATATAATTTAGAGTTAACAATATTATTATATGCAAGTTTTTTAATTTTAGATTTAGCTTCAAAAATATATCAATTTGACTAAACATCGATTTCTCAATTTAAGAATTGTGCCCAAAGCCTCATAACGGTACAGACAGACCCATATGATAGATCATTTTATCTGTTTTGATTGACTTATCAATTTAGTAAGGTCGGTTTTAACATGGTCAATTATATGTAGTAATAGCACTATCCCGGAACAAAGTTTAAGGTTAACACTAAAAATTTGTGAAAAACTTTTTTTGACGAAACAAATTAAATATAAGCAAATAATAACTATTGATATTATTGTGGTGAATTTATTGAATACCCCCAAAAAATCTGAAAATTTGACTATTAACAAAATATTGCCGATTATGACTGACCAAATTAGGGTGCGCCATTATAATGTCCCCTAAAACAGGAACGATGGGTTAGACGCGTTAATCAATCTTTAATCAATCTTGACCAGAGGTCCAAAAAATTTTTTTCAGGGTTTAACATTGATTTATTAATACGCAATTTGGTAACTTAAATTTCATAAATTCGTCGTTATGTATCACAAATATATGCAGGTGTACAATTTCTTAGTGTACTTTTATTAAATCAATTGGATGAAACAGTAAATACTATAAATATTATTTAAATCAATTTTGTCATAATTTTTTAATAATAAGGCCCATAAATGCAACTTTCTATGACTAACTTATTACCTGCAAGACGTTGGGCAATTTGCAGGGAAATGAACGTATACCGTTACATAAACGTTGCATTTAAAGTCCGATTGTATATAATAATTTAAGGAGTAGAGAAGCCACATTTCTTTAATACACTGAGCGTGCTATAATTATATAAGCAAAAATACGTGCCTGTTTGCATTACAACGACCTCAAATATAGTTAGCAAAAGAATGTGTGTTGAATATTTTCTCGGACTTTTTTAGATTAAGCCATTTATAACGGATAAAGCTATTCAAGAATTCCGATACGCTCAAAGCTCATGTGTATTTATGTGGCTACGAAAAAAACGTAATATTGTCAATTATGTCAGCCTTAAGCATTCATGTAAGCTTAGAATACACTTTTTGATAATCAACTTGTACGCCAATATCAAGAACATGTCTACTCTTAAATGATTACTAATTGATCTTGGTCGTTTGGGGTGGGTACACGGAAAAAGGGCAAATAATTCTGGTGTTAATATGAGTTAGGATAAGAGTCACTCAAATGATAAACTACAATACTATCACTTAGATCGTCCATGATCATAGCGTAGCTTAAAGTCAGATGTAATATAGAATATGATAAATAGATAGTTTAATAGTTAGATCATATATTAATCATGACAATATAGATAGTTTAATAGTTAGATCATATATTACTCATGACAATTTGTGGATTAAAGGAAAGACTTCAAAGCATAGAAAACTTTGAGCGATTAGAATTATAGCATTCTTACGAAATGAGCTCTTTATGTTAAGATCACTAGTTTATATTGTGCTTTTTACTAATCGGGAGAAGGATCATCAAATCAGAGCACTTTTATTGAGGCTTTCAAGTGTTAAACTCTAATTTAGTGTCTATATTCATAGTACGTTTGTATTATTTACCAGTATATAGACATTTGCATAATATCAAAACGACTGAAGTAACAAATATGACGGAAGTAATATTATACTAAATATATTATCGTTATTAACAGGATTTCGGCAACTTCTATTATTTTTCAGAATTTAGAAACTAAAATTAATAAAGATTTCGGGATTTTAAGAACTTCAACAATTTGTACTATGTACAAAACTGCAGTGTCAGAGTTAATCTTCCATTTTACAAAGTTCTAAATAGCGATAGAAGTACTCAACCTGATCATTTAATTAGGGGGTCCCTTAAAGCGGGCGGATTACGTAATAATCAACCAATTAAATTTGATTAAATTGGTAAAATTTGATAAACCCGGATCAGCCCGATGGAGCAATTCCGAAGGAAAATTTTACTCAAAGTGGCCCTAACTCTAATGTTATGACACGTGATTTGCCCGCTTTAAGGACCCTTAATTAGTAAACAGTCATGTGGTCACTATCGTGGGGAAGTTACGGTTAGGGTCGGAATTACATTGTAACTTACGAAACTGTAATGTAATTTTATATTAAATAGTACAGTCACAAAAGTTTTGGCAAAAACTTTTCGCATGATAAAAATTACATGTAATTTGGTTTCTGAAATTCACGTAAAATTACGGTAATTTGCCAATCCTAGTTACGGCTCAAATTTAGATAAAACTTGTTTACATAACTTTTTATATTTCTTAAGAATTTAAATTTATTAATATTGTATAAACTCATGGGTATTTAAACTCACAAACCCCTTTCGGTGTTAAAAACAACTTAGAAACTATTAATGCTAACGTCAGCTGTCTACAGAATTACCACGTTCCTTAATAGTATCACAATTTGGCTTCATTTATTGCATACGTATTTATTTGTGTTTGTACCGTATTTTCGCGTAATAACGCGCAGGGGTGTAATTTCAAATTTTGGCCTAAATTAAGCTTAATTCGGGCCAAAATTCGAAATAACGCTCATGGGCGTTATTACGCGAAAATACGGTATATTTTAATTAAAAAGGAAAGATTGTATCTATCTATTTTCTATGAACATATAATATATAAATCATATTTCAGTCTTAGTATCTGTTATATAATTGTATCCATCTATTTAATTCATGGATTTTTATATATTAAAAGAATAACATATATACTTACGTATTTACAGAGTATAGATACAATTTATGTTATGCTATCATTTCGTCACAATGGGAGTCTAAAAATATTGCAAATTAATAAATTTTATATTATAATTTGGATTGTGGAGATCTTGAGTTTTTAAACTTAAAAGTATCGTTGAATTCTTTTTTTCAACAATATTAAGCAAAAATTTGTAATGAAATTCATTATATTTAAGTCTAAATTTGTAATTTCTATAAGGAATCGGTTATGATTTTTCAATGTTATCCAAGCAACTTTTAAAGAGGTTGAAATCCTATATAAATCAATTCAGTAAGTAGTATCTTAATTATTTTGACATCTGTTAGTCTACCCGGAAGGTTATACATGCAAAAAAAGTTGCCCCTTGCATTACAGGACCCGTAAATTTAAAGTAACTGATTTCTTTTCATAAAAGGGCTAGATTAAAAATGCTAGTTCTTATGGATCAAGGTTACACGCGCTATTACATTAAGTTGCCAATTTACGCTTCATTAGATTTTAAACTGTATAAATTTCTTATATAATATTAGATCCGTATTCTTTTCCTTAATTTTTCTAAAACAATTAATACATAATTTATAGTTTGAGGGCCTCTAGAAAGGAAAAAAAAAAACTCTATATAACACAAAAGGAGAATCAGACCTCGGATTTTCAAGTTTATTATTTATTATTTCTCGGATTTAACCGTCACCCACTTACATATGTGATGCATAATTAAATATATTTATATATCATATAAACTTTAAAGCCCGAAGTCCGATTCTTTATCGTGTCACTATTATCATGTCCTTTTAAGTATAAGAGCTGATTAGTTGGCTAATTAACGCTCAGGGGCGATAAAGGGGAAATTCAACAAACCACATGCGTACTTCAGAATATTTGGCAAAATTTCATTGACCAGTTTTAATCACATGATTAATAAAGATTATCCTTATTCGATTTTTGAGGGACAAGGAGGATGACTTTAATCAACCAACTATTCAACCTTAACAGCCTAAATCAATGTGAATAAAACACAAGCAGAAATTTGTAATTTGCTGGCCTTAATCTATACTACTAAATAAGCATGTGCCTTCAGGCTTTTTATTGGATACTGTTTACACACATGGTCTCCATGAAAGTTACACGTGGCAAAACGCGTGCAGGATACTAGTCCTATTTAATCTGAGTATAAACAATCCATTAAGATTTGGTCGTAAGGTAATTACTATAGTGAGTAAGAAGTATCTCACCCTTTAGTGCCAATAGCTCAACATAGCTAAATGTGGTAACATCAAATCATATAATATGAAATGATGGTGAACTCCCCAGATGATTTCATCATAGGTCTGAAAAAAATCCATCTTATCTTTGCATGAGAATCTTTACTCATAAATGATCATCATTGGACGTCCCATTACAGAATGGGATGGAACAAAGCAAAAATCTCGGAACAGTCAAAAGTACAACGCTTGGGGTACGGTAAGACAATTTCTTAAAATGAGTTAGTACTTTGTTGCACAGGTTATTATCAAATGATAATTTCCTTATTATTGTAGATTCTAAATATAGAGTCATTATATTTGTGCTTTTCATTTAAACTCCCCCTATGATTTACTCAGAAACAATTTTGAAGATCGAGGATTATCATGCAGTATAAGCCTTTGAATATTGACGAAGATAAATGAAAAATTTATATATTCTAAAAAAAATCTATAAATTCTACACACATTAGTGAATACAATAAAAGTATAACACCATTTGGTGCCTTTTAGCACACCCAATATTATTACAGAAGTTCAAAATTGTTATCCTACATATTAATGATTCAATAAGTATGCTGAAGCCTGACGAAATGGGTGGCTTCGTCAATTTGTCAATGACGAACCATTTATTTCGTCAGAAATCATTAGCTGTGATAAGAATTGTTATTAAATTATTATGTATTCTATATACATACACTCATATCTAGAGACATACGACAAAGAGAAATTAAACGAATTTAGATTATTTAACAAAACAACTGTAATCTATGTAGTCTTTTTAATAATTACATATCAATTAAGAGATTTTATAATTCTGCCAAAATAAAAGATTTTTATTTAAATAAATTTTTAAGACTATTAATAATTTTTATTAAGCAATATATTGTATAATCATTTTAAATTTGTAGAATTTATCTTAAACAGTTAAACCTGTTGTTATAAAAAGAACCATAAACTTATAATCATAGAAAAATTGCTACTAAAAAATTTCCATATTTTACTTCAAGATTGTCAAATAGGCTCTTAAAATCGATCCTTAAAAAATTTTTCTTAAAAATCTCAGGCATGTAGCTTCTATTTAAAACTAATTTAGAAAAAAATAAAATTTCTTAATGATAAAAATAAGATCATAAAAAAGTTATTATAAATATAAGGTCATGTGAAAAGTATAATCGAAAGTTGTAACCTCATTTGCCTTAAAAAAATTCCTTTAAATTAAAGAATTTTTTATGTACATAATTTGTTTATGTGAAAGAAAATCCTGACAATAAACAATCTTGAAAATTTTGTGAAGTTTCTGAACGTTTCTGTCCAATGAAAGGGTTCGCTCCATTAACTAGATCTAGATATCGTTGGACGGAATCGAAAGCACCAGTAGTGTTTTGAAGGCCTAAAGGCTGTCCACTGTTCTGTAATATTTGTAGATGACCACCATTTTGTAATCCATTAGTAGTTCGAGATGGCCGGATACGGTTTACGTGGCTCATAGTTACAAATATATTTTTTTAACGATAAAAATAATTTATAGAAAGAGTGAAAACTCGAATTTTTATATTGTATTAGCTGTTAAAATATAATACAAAGAATAGTTTTCTATATGCACGTAAGAAACAAAGTGCATTTAAGAGGCCTGAATGTGGATAACAAGTGAATAAGTGTAGTTAAAAGTTGAGAATGAGACATGAAGCGCGTTATAAATAGAAAAATTTTATGTATTTAGTGCATCTAATAAAAAGATCTATGTCAACCCGAGTCAAACCTTAATTTTACAAATTGGCGAAACCGTAAATAATAACAACGAAAAATTAATTATTATGTAATTATTTTATCTAATTAAACTTGTATATTTATCTACTAATTTTGATTATGTACAATACTAATCGGAAAGAATCGAGTTTTGATCTGGTTGATCTGGACCAAACCATTCAGTTAGAAACATTATTTGTATTTAAATGGCTTTAGAGATTCCAATTTGGATACCAATTGAGAAGCTAGGGGTGTTAAAATTCCCAAAAGATTAATATTGAATATACGCCTTTTGACAATCAATTTCGTATACCCTCATTAAAAACATACCTGCTCCCAAATGTTTATTACTTGACCTTTTATTATTGGGGTGAGTACGTTCTTGATAGGGAGTACTTATTTGATCGTCAAAAGATATCCACCACTTACTTATCCCCAGTAAAATACTTTTCCATTGTCTTTAAATATAATATTTGCTTTGTATTGTATTGGATGATTGTTTTTGAACATGGATCAAAAGTTTTATAATAGTATATTCCTGTATTCTATGTAAATACATATTTAATACATAGAAATTTAATCTATGTACTTGTGATCAGCAATTTGAGAATGTTCTGGATATTCTCCAGTGGCATCACCAACAAACCGCTTCGGGAACGCCACCAATAAAATTTTGTGATCACATGACTATCAACGAAAATGAGTCAATAATTGGTTATTATTCGTGTAACCTTCCGAGAAAAATATAAAGTAAATTTAAATATAACCGTCATTAACTTTTAACCTTAATTTAAGCATTAACTCTAACATAAATGAGCATTAAAAAATGTTTTGTGCATCGTGCGATCGTTGATGATGCTGGACGAACCTAAATTAAATTGAATAAAAATTTTATACGCTTTAAAGTACTTTTTATTCTTGAAACCTTACCGATCAAATCTATCAAAAAAAATAAATTTGCAGAAAAAACTTTCATATATCTATAAGAGATTCCAAGTATTTTAATCTATCATTCGAGAAAATGAATGTACTTCTAGCATTAAAATAAAGAATGAAATAACAGCTTGTAACTAAGATCTGAGACTTCGTGGAGGAAGCACAAAACGATCTCAAATAACGAATATTTGCTAAATTTTAACTATTGCCATTCTAAGGTACAATATAAAAACGATTTGAAAAAATATATCTTATTGGTTTTAATAGATGATAAGTTTGTAAAGAAACCAGAATTTTTTAATAAGAAAAATTGGAGATTATATTATTGCTGATATTTCATGAATCCGTAGTTGGAATTTGACAGATTTCATAACATTTGATTCATCTCAATGAGACGAATCGAATCATATAAAAATTATTAAATTCTATTTACTAGGTTGAAGATATTTTCGATCTAGTAAAATATAAATTTTGAAGATCGTTATCGATTATAATAAATGTAATAAATGTAATTGACCAATACCAGGAATGTAGTGAAACGGAGTGTATGGTTCAATTCGAGTTTTGCGTTCGTCCATAAAATCTTGATTCTGATTGGATTTAGTAATCGAATTATTTTCATGATACAATCTTGTTAAACCCTATATAAAATATTATGTTATGGTTTGGTTTCTTATGATCACATTCCCTTTTAGATAAAATGGATATATCGCAATAACGATAATACTGTATTACTGTATTATCATATTCGTATGATGTTTTTAAAATTACAGCCATCATTCACATTGAACCTAGCTGCCGCACCAAAATTTCACGGAAGATCGATTTGCTATGAGCGACGATCAATAATTTAGGCCAAAATTACTCAAAATTTTACTAATGAAACCACAGCCGCACATTAAGTG